AGAAGTTAGTTAGGTAACCTTTCTTAGTTAGGATCATAGTTATGTTAACCGTAGTTGAGTTAACAGTTGTAACCATCTTCTCTATAAATTGTAATAGTTTCAGATGAATGAGTAATGAAAAAAAGAGGATTCAAATTCAAAATATTCTTTATGGTATCAGAGCACCGAATGCTCTAGCGAGCTCAAAGGTCCTTCCATGGCTTCCATGGATTCTTCATTTCAACTTCCTGCAAATCTAAAACTTTTGGTTTCAAACCTGAGTGCATTTGTCACTGTAAAGCTTGATGTTAGCAATTTCATTGTATGGAAAAATCAACTCTTCAATATTCTTCGTGCTACTGGATTGCTTGGATATGTGAATGGATCTCTTGTTCCTCCTTCTGAAATGATCACTGACAAAGAAGGTGTGAGTGTTCTGAATCCTGAATTTGCACATTGGCACACTGTTGATGCTCACCTCTTGAGTTGTATCACTGCAACTCTTTCTCCTTCAATCTTTACTTCTGTATGCCATTGTAAAACAAGTTTTGAGGTTTGGTATAATCTTGAAAAGCGCTTCACCTCTCTCTCAAGATCACGCATTCATCAGCTTAAGAATAAGCTGCATAACATCACCAAAACTTCTTCCTCAATGGAGGAATATCTTGCACAAATCAAGGATATCGCTGATCAATTGGCTTTGGCTGGATCTGCTGTTGATGATGAGGATTTAGTTCTCTTGACTCTCAATGGTTTGCCAACAGAATACGGTGCATTCAACACTACAATTAGAGCCAAAACAGATCCAATTTCAATGGATGTTTTATCTTCGCTTCTCTGTTCTGAGGCTATTCATATTGAAAGTACTTCTAAAGCTTCTTCTAGTTCATACATGGCTTACTCTGCTTCCAATACTGCCTCATCACAGTCTCGGAATTCTGGTTCTCAAACTACTTATCGAACCAACTTTCACAGAGGAGAGCGCACTGATTCACGAGGTGGTAGGTTTTCTTCTCGTGGTCGCAGAGGTGGACGCTCAAATTTTACTTCTGTCATCTGTCAAATTTGTGGCAAGAATAATCATAGTGCTTTCAATTGTTGGTACCGATTGGACTCTTCTTTTCAGCCATCTGCTTCTTCAATGCCTTTTCATCATTCATCCGATGGATCAAGTAAAGCCTATGTTGCTTCTACATCACATCCTCCTGAGAACTGGTATTTGGATTCTGCTGCTTCCAGTCATATCACGCATAATCTTCAGAACTTGAATATGTATCAACCCTACGAAGGTCATGCTCAGGTAATGGTTGGTGATGGTGTTTCTCTTCCCATTCAGCATAAGGGTAATGGTCTTCTTCCTACTCCTTCTTCTTCTTTCCAGCTTCATAATATCCTTCATGTTCCACAAATTTCAGCCAATTTGATTTCAGTTCATCAATTGGTTAATGATAATAATTGTACTATAACATTTGATGTTGATCATTTCATTATTCAGGACAAGACAAGTAAGGCTGTCTTGTACAAAGGTGTTTCCTCTCAAGGCCTTTATCATCTTCCAGCTGCTCTTCCTAAATCTCTTCCTCGTCAAGCATGCTTCAGAACTACTACTTCTTCTCATGACATATGGCACTCTAGACTTGGTCATCCATCTACTTACAAATTTAGAGTTCTTTGTAATAGGTTTCAGTTGTCTGTACCTAGTAATAAAACTTCTGTTGTTTGCTCACCTTGTTGTGTTGCAAAGAGTCACAGGCTGCCTTTTAGCCTTTCTACTACTGCTGTTAATAAACCATTTGCTTTGATTCATAGTGATGTTTGGGGACCATTTGCAGTTTCTTCTTCTCCTTCTACATACAGATTTTATGTCTTGTTTGTTGATGAATATAGCAAGTTTACATGGATATTTCCTTTGCATTATAAAAGTGAGGTTTTTTCCAAATTTATGGAGTTTAAGGCTTTTGTGGAAAATCAATTTGAGGTTTCTCTTAAAATTTTGCGCACTGATAATGGTTCTGAATTTCTTAGCACTGCATTTCAAAATTTTCTCAAGAAATTTGGTATTGATCATCAATTAGCTTGTCCCTATACACCAGCCCAAAATGGTGTTGCCGAGCGTAAGCATCGTCATATTGTGGAAACTGCTGTTGCTCTTCTGCATCAATCCTCTGTTCCACTCACCTATTGGTTTGAAGCAGTTGCTACTTCTGTTTTTCTTATAAATCGCATGCCTAGTTCCAAGTTACAAGATCTCACTCCTTTTGAAAAATTATTTCATAAGTGTCCTGATTTTTCTTTACTTCGTGTTTTCGGCTGTCTTTGTTATCCTTGGTTGCGTCCTTATTCTGTTCATAAACTTCAACCCCGGTCTGCTCCTTGTGTTTTCTTAGGCTATGTTCCTGCGACTAAGGGATATCGGTGTCTCGACCCTTCTTCCAACAAAATATATATATCTCGTCATGTCACTTTTCATGAACACATTTTTCCTTTTTCTTCATTGTCTTCTTCCCCATCTGTTTCACCACCTGGTTCTTCCTTCTCATCTTTCTTTTGGCCAGCTTCTGTTCCTCCTACTAGATCTGGTGTGTCATCCCAGGCTATCTCTTCCTCTGTGTCTGCTCCGTCCAGTTCTGTTCCATCTCTTGCTACCCATACTCCATCTCCTATCTCTGCTGGTTCCTCTTCTGTCTCTCCTCATTCTGCTCCCTCCTTATGTGTTGATTTCTCGTCTTATTCTCTTCCTCATCCTTCTTCTCCTTCTGCCAATGTTCATCCTATGACTACTCGCTCTAAAGCTGCCTCTCTTACTACTCCTCTGTCCTTTGCTGCTATTTCTTTTGATCTTCATGAGCCTTCTACCTTTAAGGCTGCTTCTCTTTCTCTTGCTTGGTCTGCTGCTATGGATGCTGAATTTCAAGCTCTTCAGCAACAGCATACTTGGTCCTTAGTCTCCCTTCCTTCTGGCAAGCAGGCTATTGGATGTAAATGGGTCTATCGGCTTAAAAAGAATTCTGATGGTTCGGTCGCTCGGCATAAGGCTCGTTTGGTTGCTAAGGGTTATCTTCAAGAGGAAGGCTTGGATTATCATGAGACATTCAGTCCAGTTGCCAAGCAGCCTACCATTCGGATTTTGCTTTGTCTGGCTTTACATTTTCAGTGGCCTATTAAACAAATAGATATTTCTAATGCCTTCCTCCATGGTGTTTTAGATGAAGAAGTGTACATGACCCAACCTCAGGGGTATGTTGATCCTAAGAATCCTCAGTTGGTTTGCCGATTACACAAAGCCTTGTATGGACTTAAGCAAGCCCCAAGGGCTTGGTATTCTACATTGTCTAAATTTCTTCTCTCCACTGGCTTTGTCATTAGTTCTTCTGATTCTTCTCTCTTTATTCAACATACCTCTGCTACTATTACAGTACTTCTTGTCTATGTTGACGACATTTTATTAACGGGCAACAATCCCTCTCATATTGCTGCTCTTATTACTTCCATGCACACTTCTTTTTCCATGAAGGAGTTAGGGGATATTACCTATTTTTTAGGCATTTCAGTTGTCCATTCTCCTGCAGGCTACTTCTTATCTCAGTCTAAGTATGCTCTTGATATTCTTGATAAAGCTGGCTTAACCAACTGTAAACCTTGTGCTGCTCCTATGTCTGTTAAACCCTCTTCTACTGCTTCTCCTTCAGTTCCTTTTTCTCAGCCGTCTCTCTATCGGAGTCTTGTGGGCGCTCTGCAGTATCTTACCATCACCCGACCTGACATTGCTTTTGCTGTTAATCATGCTTGCTAGGCTATGCAGTCTCCTTCTGAGGCTGATTTTGCTGCTGTTAAACATCTTCTTCGGTATTTGAAGGGGTCTCTTTCTCACGGCTTGCAGTTTGCTTCGGGTCCTCTTGATCTTTTTGCCTTTTCTGATTCAGATTGGGCTGGCTGTGTCGTTGATCGTCGGTCTACTACGGGGTATTGTGTCTTTTTGGGCCCCAATCTGATCTCTTGGTCTGCTAAAAAACAACCCACCGTCTCGCGTTCATCCACTGAAGCTGAGTATCGTGCTTTAGCCCAGGTGGCTGCTGAGCTTTGTTGGCTTCAAATGCTTTTATCTGAGCTCAAGGTTCCTTCTTGCTGTCCTATTATTTGGTGTGACAATTTGTCTACTATCTCTCTCAGTTCTAATCCGGTGTTTCATGCTCGTTCTAAGCATATTGCTGTGGACTATCATTATATTCGTGAACGTGTTGCTGCTAAACAGGTTGTTGTTCATCATATTTCTTCTTCTGATCAGCTGGCTGATCTTTTTACTAAGCCTCTCCCTGTGTCTCGCTTTCAATTTCTTCTATCCAAGCTCTTGCTGTCGTCCCCTCCTCTGAGCTTGCGGGGGCATGATAAGAATACAGTTCTTCTGCAAGACCAAGAGCTGCAAGACCAAGAAAAAGATGAGTCAGCTATTGCATCATCATGCTGAATCATCTGTGTACATCCAACCTTAGCAGAGTATATACATCAAGTCTTAGCAGAGCAGAGTACATCGACTCTCAGCATCTCCAGCAGCACCAGATTAATTCTCATCCATCATAACTAACTTCTAACTACTTACTGTTACAGAAGTTAGTTATGTAACCTTTCTTAGTTAGGATCTTAGTAATGTTAACTGTAGTTGAGTTAACAGTTGTAACCATCTTCTCTATAAATTGTAATAGTTTCATATGAATAAAATTGAGAGTGAAGAAATTCAAATTCGAAATTTTCTTTAACATGCACCAATTAGTATATCAACTAGTGTATCAATACTAGTTATGATATTATTATTGACCCCACTCATTATACAAATTATAAATATTAAAAATATCTTAAATTATGTTACATTATCAAGGAAAAATTATTCATAAATCCCATTTTAATAAATGTTGCTCAAGTTAGTCCTAAGTGTTTTTTCTTAAACCATTTAGTCCTTTTTATTTTTGGTATGATATATATTTTTGATATATTGTATATAAAGTTTACACCAACATCATCAACATCACCATCCGAATCAATCTCTCTCATCTCGATTTTGAAACCCTAGTTTTCTCTCTCTAGACTCTCTAATGGCACCCAAAGCAGCAGCAGAGGAGAAGCCCGCAGAGAAGAAGCCAGCGGAGGAGAAGAAGTCCACGGTGGCGGAGAAGGCTCCGGCGGAGAAGAAGCCGAAGGCCGGCAAGAAGCTGCCGAAGGAAGGCGGAGCAGCCGCCGGAGACAAGAAGAAGAAGAGGTCGAAGAAGAGCGTTGAGACTTACAAGATCTACATCTTCAAGGTTTTGAAGCAGGTTCATCCAGATATCGGGATCTCGAGCAAGGCTATGGGGATCATGAATTATAGTTTCAAATTTTTTTTAATGAATCTGATGTTTGAAACACCCACAAACATCAATGAATCTGATGTTAGATTAATGAATCTGATGTTGGAATCTGATGTTTAAATGAATCTGATGTTTTGATGATGATTTTGATGATGTTTGCCGATTTTTTATGATGTTTTGATGATGGGAATTTTTTTTTAAATGAATCTGATGTTCTGATGTTGCTGTTGTTCACGATGATGTTTGATGATGATTTGATGATGTTGCCGATTTTTGATGATGTTTTGATGATGGTAAATTTTTTTAAAATGAATCTGCTGTTTGAAACACCCACAAACATCAAAAACATCGGATGTTTGGAAAACGAGGGAAATCTAAAAAAGGTCTATAGTAAGCTTTTTGGGCAATTCAGTAAATTACACATAAACACTAATCCAAAATTACCCCCTCAATTACTGACCCAGACGCGTAAAAAAATGGGTACTAATGTCTTTACACATAAAATAGGACCTATTAGTCCAACAAAAAAACATCGGGACTAAATTGGCTAACATTCCCAAATTAGGGATTTAATGGTGCTTTCCCCTATATTTTATGCCTAACTTCATTTTGATCCCTAACTTATTAATTGTCTCAATCAATTCCCAGATTTCCAATCAAGTGGCATTTAGGTTCATTTAGATATCTCTATTTCGAAAACTAACAAACAACAATCACATGGTAGTATTAATTATATTTTATTGTCCTACACTTTTATTAAAGTCTCTATTTAATCTCTGGAGTTGGGGTGCCTGTTGTGCATCCAGCACAGCCGGCACTGCTGTGCGGCCCTATGGGCTTATTTCAAGATCCATTTTGATAATCCGAACCATTTACATTTTAAAGTACATCGAGTAAAACATATCTGTAAAAAATTAAGTTAATCGGATATCGTTAACCTTTTCATCCACTCACATTTGTATTCATTTTAATACTTTAAATCACAATGTCATTTATTTTTGAAGATACAAATGTGAGTGGACGAAAGAGTTAATGATATCCGATTAATTTAATTTTTTACAGGTATGTTCTACTCAATATACTCTAAAATGTGAACAGTTCAGATTATCAAAATGGACCCTGAAATAGGCCCATAGGGCCGCACAGCAGTGCCTGCTGTGCACCCACCCCAACTCCTTAATCTCCCTACTTTAGTCATTAACACTCTTGTATTTTTATCAAATCTCCTTTAGTTTCTCCATTAATTTTTGAAATAGCGTTGTATGACTGAGCTTAAATGTAACTTGATTTGAAATTCAAGGAATTGATTGACACAATTAAGTAGCAAAATAAGACTGAGTGTAAAATATAAGAATAGAAAATGTAATTTATTCTAAAAATAAATAAATTCAAGCATTATCATAATGCACCTATTAGATTATTCTTTATCCATTGCAAAATTTTCAAACTTGAATTGTTAGTGGGATTATGATATCACTATGCATTTGTCACTTGTGCTTGGGGTTCGCCATAAACAATTTCTTGTTCTATCCCTTGGAGATGCTATTTGTCTTTCCCATGCTAGAGAGACAAAGTTTGGTTTCAGTTTCCATAATTTAATTTTTTAGAAATTAAGTTTTTTATTTTTTATTTTTAGTGATTTTTTAAATTATTTTAAGAATTATTTTACTTTTTAGATATATTAAATATGTATAATATTCGTGAAAAAAATCTTTAAAAAATTCACTAAATACAAAAAATACAAAAAAAAGAAGACAATTTAGTTCATTTTTCATATTTTTATATATTTATTGATTTTTAAAATATTTTTTACAAATATTTTACTTTTTAGTACATCTAAGTTAAGTGCATTTAAGAAGTAAAAAATTTTCTTGAAATATTAAAAAAATTCACTAAAAGTATAAAAATATAAAAAATAAAAACTCAATTTTTAAAAAATTAAATTTTAAAAATTGAAACCAAACAAAATGTATTTAAAAAGTAAAAAACTTACTTAAAATATTGAAAATTGTTTATTAAAAATAAAAAAATAGGAAAAAAAAAACTCAAAACTGGCCTACTATATCATTTACTTTCATTTCCTGTAGCATGAGTTTGATCAAAACAGTGGCGCAAAAAATAAATAAATAAAATAAGGAGAGAACAGTCGGGACCGAGAATCCGACATGATAATGAGGGGTTTTGAAAAAATCTTTCCCACCGACCATTCAATTTTTTCTTTTAGAAAGGTGCACCAACAATTCATTAACACTTGAAAAATGCTATTAATTCACTCTTAGAAATTCATAATTTACTTCGAATGAATTTGTATAATAAAAATTAAATTAGTAAAATATAAAATTTATGAGTAAAATAAATTTAAACCGTTAAATTTTTTTTTTTCTGAATAAATTCGAATTGGTAATGTTGTCATTAACACTTCGTTGAGACTGTCTAAAAAATCAACATAAATGTGATTATTCTATTTTTCAACTAGTAAAAAAGAATAAATTACACTAATCGCTTTGAAAGTGAAACGTGTCAACAATTTAGAGGATTCGTTTGTATATTTTTATAATTTAGAGGGTGAAAGTAATATTTCTCAATAGTTGATATTTCTAAATAATTTAGGAGGCCTTTGTTTTAAATAACCCAATCAATTAACAATTTTATTAATATTAGAAATATATTTTAATTAATAATTCAGATAATCTTATTGTTGTATAGGAGAGTAGTTACCAATTTTTTATTTTTTAATATTTATTATTTATTAATTCCGTTAAATAAATTTTTTTAACAAAGAGATATTGAAAATTTCTAAAATTATAAAAGGCAACTTATATTTTTAAATAAACTTTTAAATCTTGGGGTCAGCACTTTTCCATTTACGTTAGTAATAGAAACAGTACAAGAGAGGCATTTGTTGCAGGTTAGTGAAGCAGAAGGGTTGGTGTAATTTTCAAAATCTCAAAAGAGGTTTTTGTAATCTCAACAAACCTTGGGGGGGTTTATGTAATTTATCCAAATTTTAAAAAAAAATATCTTAAAAATTAGGAAAAATACGGTTAGCTTTATATTTTTATGGGTCATTTTTTGATAAATTATTTTTTAAGTATTTTATTCCATCTAACTCATATTCTTTTTAAGGTTCCGTTTGGCAAGAGCTAAATGAGACTTTTTTCGCTATTTTAGCCACAAAAAATAAAGGGAGCTTTTTTGATAAATCCATTTTCTAAGAGTTTTATTCCATCCAACCCATATTCTTTTTGACTATTCCATTAGGTCCAATTTGAGATAAGAAGACTAAAATACCCTTTTCATCTACTTATGTTCCATTTAGTTCACATTATTTTCTTATGTTTCAATAAGTCCTATGGGTGACATAATTACCAAAATACCCTTAATGTGAATGTTCACACCGTCAATATAAATGTTTATATCGTCAATGTGTAGGGGCCCGGCTCAGTGGTAGGCTGCAGATGCAAGTGCAAATCTTTCTTGGAATGGAGATTGCTAGGTCAAAGAAAGGTATAGTCGTCTCACAACGTAAATACGTTCTAGACTTACTGAATGAAACAGGGATGCTAGGATGCAAGCCGGCAGAAACTCCTATGGACACAACTATCAAACTGGAAGAAAGTGACGGTAGTGCACCAAGTGATAAAGGGAGATATCAACGTCTTGTGGGAAAACTCATTTATCTTTCTCATACAAGGCCAGACATCGGCTTCTCTGTTAGTGTGGTCAGTCAATTCATGAATAATCCAACCGAAAAACACATGACTGCTGTGATCAGAATATTGAGGTACCTAAAAAGGACACCGGGAAAGGGTCTCTTCTTCCAAAGAACAACAAATAGAAAAATTGAGATTTTTTCAGATGCAGATTGGGCAGGTTCATTGACTGATCGAAGATCAACTTCTGGCTATTGTTCGTTTGTTTGGGGGAACGCGGTTACATGGCGAAGCAAGAAACAGTCAGTGGTCGCCCGTAGTAGTGCTGAGGCAGAATTTCGTGCTATGGCCCTAGGTATCTGTGAGGGAATCTGGTTGAACAGACTGTTAGAAGAATTACGAGTTCCATCTGAGCATCCTATGGTTTTATACTGCGACAACCAAGCCGCCATCAGTATCGCTAAGAATCCGGTTCATCATGATCGCACTAAGCACGTGGAGATAGATCGACACTTTATCAAGGAAAAGATTGAAGAAGGAGTTTTTCAAGTCAGCTACACTCCAACAAACTGTCAAAAGGCTGACATTCTCACAAAAGCTCTTGCTCGAGTTAACTTCGAAGATTTGACGGAAAAATTGGGATTGATTAACATCTACAACATAGCTTGAGGGGGATTGTTGGAAATCAAGCTATTGTTAATATAATAATACCAGCTGTATGCTTATATCATTTATATATTTAATATATATATTAGTTAGTGCTTCTCCATCAGATGCTTTGTTAGTGCTTCTCCATCATATGCTTAGTTGTAGTGCTTTGCTTAGTTGTATAGGTAGTGCCTTCTCATCAGATGCTTCGCTTTCGGCTGCTTTTTATTTCTATATGTTTTCTTTCATGCTGTAGTATCATAATGATGTTGTATCAGCTCTCCTATATAATGGAGCCTTCTCTTCAGGTTTAATACACATTTTGAATTACAGAGCGTATTAGCTCTTTCAATCACTCTCTCAATATTTCTTTCACAACCTCAAACACTGACGGGTCTCCCACGTTTTCTTTTGATTTCATGGAATGTTTAGCTGTGATGTGACCTCCACTATTGAAAAGCTCGAAAGCCTCTTGAAGATTTGGTAATTGAGAAGCAATAACTGCACCATCTCTTAACTGGATCCTTTCATGAGGTATGCTACTATACATCCTAATATAGCACCTGCTGTTACCTGCAACAATTTCAATGAAAAAAAAAATAGTTTTCATATGGACATGAAGAAATTCTTAGAGGATTTTCATTTTTGTAAAAAGAAGAAAAATTCAGCCACGGACACAATAAATAATGATCATCATAATTATTCTTTTGTATGTAAGCAACGATTATTAAGTGTATAATGTCCGCATATTGAACTACTTTAGATAATGAAAGTCTTGTCTTTAAGCATTTATTCAAAAATTTCAAGAAGCCATAGTTG